AAAACTCAAACCAGGAGATGTTGTTGATGCGCTCCACCTGGAGATGTCGCACCACCGTGTGGACATCTAGCGAGCGCTCTGGCCGCTTGTAGCTGGGCGGGATGAGCAGCTGCTCTGTATGGAGCCGCTTGGTCAGCAGCTGACCCTTGATGCTCAGAATGGGCGGGCTGGACGACTCCAGATGATAGCCTAAAAGAAAGCAGAAAGCGATTGAAGTTAACAACCAAAAATTGAAGGTCATCCCTCACCTGGCAGCAGTTGGCCCTGGTAAATGAGATTCTGGACGTGCAAGCGCTTCACCTTGAGCGTGTCCTGTTCACCCGTGTAGGAAGCGTTGCCCGCACCAAAGGAACGCGTGCTGCGCCTGATCACGGCGTGACCATATTGTTGACGCAGTCGCTCCATGCGCCGCAGCAGCTGCATGGGACTGGCCAAGTGGGAGCCCTGCAGCTGCACCAGCTGAACGCGCGAGCCGTTGCGTAGATGCAGTGGCTGCGTCAGACTGCGCGTGGGCTGCTGCTCCAGCGACCCCAACAGCTGATGCACTGCATCCAGCTGCTGCTTGCGGCGCAGCAGCAGGCTGCGCAGTCCATTGATGGACTGCTCGAACTCATGGCGATGCTGCTGCACGCTGCTCAGATCTGTTGAGACAATCAGGATTAGACAAGGACAAGGATCTAGCCACAATGGCGAGCACAGCTTACCATCGTTGCCCTCCAGATTGGCGGCCAGGATGGTTGCGTCGTTGGCACCGCCCAGCTGCACCATGCGCAGCAATGTAGTGCCCGGCTGTCGCCGATAGGACAACAGCAGAAAGCTTTCGTTCTGTGGATTGCGATGCGTGTAGATGCCACTGGGATTGGGATCGGCGCCGAAGCCACTGTAGCAGTCCAGGCGTTGGCTGTTGAACACCAGCACCTGTCCGTTGGCGCGAGCACCGACCAGCAGCTGGCCCAGCTCGAATGCGGCCAGATGGCTGAACTGCAGCTGCCTCAGCACATGCTTGCGGTACACCACAAAGTGGCCATCGACCATGCGGAATAGGATGCACGTGCTGCTCGTGCTGCTGTTGCCGCCGGCTCCGGCGCAGGCGATGAGTAGATTGCGGCCACGGAATCGTGCCGCCAGCACGTGACGCGCCTGTACGGTCAGGCTCTGGCGGCGCAGCAGCCGCAGCGTGGGCGTCAACAGTTCGTAGATGGTCAGCACGAGCTGTGGAGGCAGGGAGGCAACAAATATAGCCGCTTACAGCTTGTGAACAGAGTATTTGAGGCTTACCTTGGACTGGCCGCGCAGCGTGCGTCCCGTGATTATGTAATAGGGCTGACGTCCTACCACCTGGAATGCTTTGATGGAGGGCAGCGTGAGCTCCTCGACGGGATTGAAATACGTCTCCAGCCACTCGTAGGTTCTATAGGTAGATCAAAAGGCTTGAAACTTGAGCGCATCTTAAACTGTGCCCAAGGGCCTACCTGCATCTGGCCTGACTCTGCGTTACGTTGAGAGTCAGCAGCAGCAGAACCTGCTCCGGATTGGGCTGCAGCAGATGCAGCTGTTGCAGGCTGCCGGCCAGAGCGAACTCCTGTATGGGCTCAAAGTGCTGCTGGTTGGCATCCAGCATCGCCTGCTGTGCCAGCTGATAGAACTCCAGCGATTCCGGCAGCGCCACGGCCAGCAGCAGATACTCGCGCCAGAGCACCACAGCCGCGGCGCTGGCCACTTGCTGGCCCACACGGCCCGTCAGCTCGCCCAGACGCACCAGCCGCTTGTCCCGGCCGGCCACTTGCAGCTGGAACAGCTCGTGCCCGTGCAGCACCAGCAGCAGCTGCTGGGCGCGCAGCACATGCAAATGTCGCTCGTGCCGCAGCTCCATGTCCATGAACGGCAGCCGAATCTCCACGCTCAAGCTGCTGCCGTTGGTATCCCTGCGGCAAACGCTGGGCATCAGCCTCGTCGGGCCAACAATGGGAGCTGCTCCCTGGCCCTGTCCCTGACACTGTGTGGATAAAGCAGCTCATAGATATTCCTTATCTTTTCGTTTCTCGTTCTGGCACTTACCTGTAGGAAATTGAATACACATAGAAGTACGAAAAGCGACTCCATTGATAACATATGTGGCCACATATGGAGATCTGGAGCTCCTTCGATCTCTGAATTGAACAAACACACTTTACGCTCTGCCCAATTCTGCGCATGTGTCGCAAAATTTACACTCTTTGTGGCTGCTGTTCCATATAACGGTTAACCAGGTATGTATGCTGTAAGGAGAGCGTGAGAACAGAAAGCCAGGTGGAGAGAGCGGGAGAGGGAGAACGCGATAATGAGAGACTAGGCTTGGCTTTTTCAAGGCTGCACACTGGTTCAAAGCACTGAAGACATTGTGCAAATTTTATTATATATTTGTTTTATTTTGTATATATTTATTAATGTATGGTCGACATCTATTCCTTTACTTTAAGTTCCGGCCATGAATTTGATATAATAAGATTATTTTTATTGCATAATAATTCCAATCGAAGATCTGGCCCTATTTGTTTGAGTTATAGCATTGACTAAAAGTATGCTATATGAAAATTATATTCTGCGATATTTTTGAAATACTCGTGAGTATTGAATCTTTTGACCAGATTAAACTTCAGTTCAGTTCACAATAAGATATTTCCCTAAGCTAATCGAGCTTCTAACTTTTAGGATGTACATTTACAAACACACACACGGCAGGGCCTAAAAATAAATAGCATTGGTAAATGCCATCCATCGATTCTGTTGAGTCAATCAGCTTCGATCATTAGTGGAGGTCATTAAAGGCATTAAATCGGCTGCATAAATGTGCCAGATACGACACACCCCTCGTCGTCACATGCTAATGCCAGCGGAAGAGGAACAGATTTGGGAAGGAAGAGGAAAAATCACGTAAAAATAAAACCGAAATACCATTAAAAATGTATCCGTGCTTCGACCTTTACTCTAGATGAGAGAGAGGCAAATAATTTTCAACTGAATGGATAAAGAGAAAAGTGCCCATAAAAGGTAACATGCCATATGGACTGCTTCCCGTGCGATATTGTAAAGCCCAGTATTATAATAATATAAAAATGCTCATATTCTATATATAAGGGTCTTTTAGTTTTTATAGAAAACGATTACTTTTGATTACTTCCAGGTTTCATTTCGCAGTGTTGTAAAAAACTTAAAGATAGTGTCTTACATATATTAATAAGTTCCTTGAAGTCTTTTAGATGTTAAAAAAAAAATGCTCAGGTACCTTCTTTAAAACACCCTTTAACATTTTTCTTCAAATTTTTAACATAATTTGTCTTAATAGATTAAACATATGCATTGCCAAAGGTCGAACCCCATAGCAGATGTTATACAGCTGCTGTTAATTTATGTGGCATTTGCCTTTTTTTTCTTGGCTTTTTCTATACCACATTTGCCACTCGGCCAATTTTGGTCATTTTGACCATTTCGAGCCGCGAGTTTTCGTGACTAATTAGCGAAGTTCGCGACATCGTCATCATGACAGGCGGCCTCGGACTTACGGTGCGAACAGCCGAATTAAAAAAAAATATATGAAATAAATAAAGGAGGCCAGACGCTTCTGTGTGCGGTCCCAGGCGCCAAACCCTTGAGTCCATTTCGACTAGTTGGCCAGATGAGTTGGATCTAATGCCGATGCTCCATTGTCATGCATATCGCACATCAGTCGAGTCTCGCGCACTGATTTGAGTGCTTTCCAATTAGAAACTCGCATGCGATACGAATGCTTCCTCTGTTCCACAACAGGCGCACAAATGTTCCATATGAGCCTATAACATAACGATACCCTACATGAATTAAGTTCCAGCTGGGTGTATTGAAAACAAACTCGACTCAGTATGTGCATAATTTCACTTCTTCTGTTATGAACATTTGTGTGTTATGCTAACATCAATTTTATTTGCATTTATATTGTTTTTTCTTAACTTAACATCAATAACAGTAAAAAACCATTCAAATTAACAGCGTCAATTGAACAGAGAAACTTTAACATGTTTCGTGGAAGCGTATAACTAACAACTGGGTTACCAATCGCTAAAGCTAACTTATTTGTTATATATTCATTATGCTCAGACACATTTTCTTTTGTATAGGGTATTTGATAGTGTATGCAGCTAACATGCAGCATTCTTATTGGATTTTGTTAGTGCTTGTGGGGCGCAGGGTAAAACTCGCCCAGCACTCGGCACAAACGAAAGGAGAGCCGGTGCCAGAGCGAGAGTGGTTGAGAGTTTGTTGAGCATAGAATGAAAATTCATGGCCGGGAAAATGAGAAATGCACAGGCACAGAGACAGAGAGAGAGAGAGAGAGAGAGATAGTGAGAGAGCGGCAGAGCGCCTGCTTGCTGTTGCGTATCTACAAGATACATGCGAAGCGACGATGCGCTGCGACTGAGGCCGCGACTGCGACTGCGAGGCAACTAACAGTAAGATCGGCCAGCGTACAGCGGGCTGCCGGCGACTGGCGGACCTCTGAATCATTGTGCAATTTCTCGTCGTGTACGCCGGACGTGCCACTGCCACAAGCAGCAGAAGTCGTCATTCAACAAACGCGCGCTTGCTGCTTCGCCCTCGCGAGGCGTCACAATTTCAATTTTTAAATACACGCGCGCGCCTCTTCTGTGTGCTTCTGTGTGCCTCTGTGTGTGTGTGTGTGTGTGCTCTACATTTTCATTTATTTTTCCTTTTTTTTATTATTGTGCGGCCGCTGTTCATTGGTGCATTTATCGTATTTATTTGGGATTCTTGATTATGCAGCGCAAATCGGAAAAGCAAAACCAAATATCGCAGTCCAAGTGCACAGTTCTCGATAGTTTATAAAAAGATATAGAGCATATTGGGCTTACTCGAGGGCCAAGCCCTGGCCAGAACAATGTCCCATCAATCTGCACATAGCAACCATATATAAACCACAATTGTTTAAATCCATTCGAAACACTCGCAGCTTGTGACTTTACAATATGAAATTGTGGAAATCCAAGAAGCCCATCGGTGGCTGTGTGCCCGGCAAGTCCAGCGCTCTGAAGCAGGAGCAGGAGCTGACCACCAAACAGCAGCAACAGCAGCAGCAACAGGACTCCAATGGCATTGCGCTGGCGCCCATGCTATCTGGTAAGAGTTAGCCATAGACTCGTAGTACGCTTTGAAATTCGCCATATCAATCATGATGTATTGCGGTACAAATAATGTACTGTTACTCTCTTCGATAGTGTAGTATTTAAATGAATCCAAATCAATCGAGATGTATGAAATGTCCCAGTCCCTCCCAATTTTTGTAGTCTTCGAAATCAATTATGCTGCACGCATATGTAGTAGCCCTCCGCTCAACTGTATATCTTTCAAAATCAATCATGATGTATGGATTTTCCCATTCTACCCTCAGTATTGTAGTCTTCCAAATCAATCATGATGTATGCATATGAAGTAATACCCCGACCAACATTGTGGCTTTCCACATCAATCTTGATGTACGCATTGTCCCGGTCTCCCCTCAGTATTGTAGTCTTTCAAATCAATCATGATGTATGCATTTGAACAGGCCCACCACTCAACTTGTAGCTTTCCAAATCAATCATGATGTACGCTACGATGCCTCAGCTCCCCCCCCACCCCTTTCGAATTTGTAGCTGGTGCCGCTGTTTAATGTTGCTTCGATTTCCCGTCGCTCAGGGTTATCGCATTTCCGCTCAAGGTATTGCGTCCCGTTGCCGCACAAAAGTGGCCCTCAAGTGGTGCGACGCATACGCTCCTAATAAGTTTTCTACGTTATTTTTTTCGTTCTACACTATTATGTTTTTATTTAGTTTTTTTTTTTTTTGAGTTTCTGAAGCATAACGCACTGCTGCCTATGCTAAGCGTATTTGTATCTGTAAGATACATTCGCTGGGCAGCAGTTGGTCGCGAGACTTGGCTGGGCTGCTTGACGACTTGGCCGACTCTTTTCAGCAGCCAACATGTTTGACATTTTCAATTAAAAATAATTGCTCGCATTTCGTTTTCATTTCAAAAGCTAAATTTTCACTGCAATTTGTCAATTTCGTGTACTGTGCATGCGTATCTATCTCCCGGAGACTGTGCGCATGTATGTGTGTGTGCGTGCGTGTGTGTGGGCATGGAAATGGAGACCCATTGACCTGACCACTGATTCTCCATTGAGTTAAAGCGATATACAGGAAAAGTTTCTCTGCAATTAAAAGCAATAACGGCATGTTGGGCGGGCTCCTACAGGGTTTCTCTTTCGATCAATAATGTTAATAAGACGTTACCAGTGTGACGATTCTTCTTATTATTGATCGTAAAATATTTCAGCTTAAGTTAAGGTTGGTCAAAGAACCAAGAACTATAAACTAATCTATTGAAAAATGTAATTTTAGTAAATCTATCATTGTTCAAACGTGATGTTAATATAACGTTAACAGCTGTTATTTGCCATGCAATTAACATCATAAGCGATATGTTAATGTGACGCTATGTCAAGGCTATGTTAGGCTCTTAAGCTTTGGCGAATAATTGTTAATGTTAAGTGCTAACTTTGCAGAGTGCGTAGCCGTGTATAGCTTGCGGTTCTGACCCAATTTGTGTGTCCACAAGTCTTATTTTGCACTCTGTGAAACACAATTCACGACTCACGAGCGTGCAGCTACTTTGCCAGCTTCAAGTTGCATAGATTGCCGGGATTCATCGCCGCTCGGTGGCGAGTTGGAAGAGTTATGGCACATAACGTTTAACCCGGCGACCAGGGTGCTCAGCTTTGGCCGAACTCTGTTAATGAATGAAAACGAGATGCGCTGCGCTGGCAGCCCAAAGTACTTGTATCTGTGTATCTTTGTATCTGCATCTGCACATTAACGCATGCAGCTGGTTGGTGGCAAAGAGGAGGCCGGTCCGCCTCGTTGTCGTGGGGCGTGTGTGTGTGTGTGTGAGCTTAAATTGCATTTGATGAATTTATGGCATGGCAAGCGTAATTAAGCATTTAATTAAATATTTTGTGATGCGGCGCATTGTTGGCCACGCCATTGGCTTCCATACAATTTGCTAGCCTAATCTGCTAGCGCGGAATGCCACACAGATTGGCCGCATATTTGTGTGCGTTTGTGCCGTGCAGCTGCCTGAGACAGTGGCCAAAGGCTGGCCCAGCTCAGTCTTAGATAAGACTGCTACCATTAGCTAAAGATACTAATTGAGATACAACAGTTTGCCGATACAGATACAGATACATTTACATCCGCGCCAATTGTCACAACAAACCAAACAGGGGCGGGCACTCATAAGTGCTGTGGCATTGCCTGTTAGATGGATGGCCAGATGTCACTTGTTTACACAGCGACAACAACAACAACAACAACAACTGCTTCAGTTTACATAACACTCAACTCTGTGCCCCCCTTGTAAACAAGGCCTGAGAAAATCTAAAGGTGCGCAGTGTCAATGCACCGCACAATGCACCAAATGGCAGCAGACCCAGAGATACCCATCCTCCAATGTTAGCCCCTACCCCTGAGCATAACCCTTATGCTATACATTCAACCCCACCTTGCATACTACTTATCAGCACTAGCTGCTATATTCATTTTTTATGGCTCACATTAAACAGACATCAAATCAGCTCAAAAACATTTCAAAATCGAAATGAATTTTCGACAATGTCCACAATAAAATCTATCTTTTGGGACATACAGATATACATAGCTCTGTTAACTCTGATAACATGCCAATGTTAACATAAAGTAAATGTTTTTGTGGCAGATAAAAGCATGGCATGGCATGAAAATATAGGCAGTTATACTAAACAGCATTAATGTTAACCGTCTGATAAAACTCTATTTAACATTATCATATAGATTTAATGCAGCGATACTGTTAAGCCACTGTTATTCTTTCTTGTAGCGACTAAAAGCACGCCACAGCTTCCATACAGCTTGATGGCCTTAACAGTCACTGTAAATACACTGTTACCGTTTTTTTTTTTTTGAGTAAAAATGCACTGCAATCTCTTAAGATGATTTGTTTTCAGCGCGCATCAATTAATCTGTTTTTAATAGTTGACTTCTGCTGCACTTTTCTATTCCCGGTCGCAACCCACTCGAATATTTGAAAGAGCAATTTGATTAGCCGAAAATCGGTGAACGTGTCCGACAACAAATATGAAAAATGTCCACGAATTTATGGAATTTGTTGTTGAATGACAAAATTAGAAAATTGAAATGCGTTCGACATTTGCATGGGCTTGCAACGACTCTAGTTTATGTTATAGATACATTTGTATCTGCGTGCAACCCAGATACTGCGCGTATCTGAAGCTTGTGTTTTTTGTTTTTAACGAGTTGCATTCGAAACATGATTAACTCAAAATGTTGGCACAATAAAAATCCAAAATAGAAATGTGAAATGTTAAATGGGAAATACTCGAGAAAACGATGTTCGCAATGCGCTTTTGCAGTGGAAACATATCATAATTAATACGGAAATTAGTTTTATGGTCAATAAATTGAATTTGACAAATTTACAAGATCTGCCCAAGCTCTAGCATATGCATATAAAGATATATACGCATATGTATATGTGTTAAGTGCATATCTGAGGCACTTTTGCTATAGCTGGGAATTGTTTCCTGCTTGTTGGTGCTATTTATTTTTTTTTCGAATCCATCAACAGGTCATTTAAATTGTTTGGCGACACTTTATTGCCGATGGGTTTATTTCGAGTCTGGCATTGACTGGGCACAGCTAGCCCAGGCAGCCCGGCAGGGGCATACACTATTGAGGGGCCTTGCATTGGGCATTGCAATAAAAATCTTGCGCTCGACTTGCTCCCTTGGGGTTGGCACTCGGTCTCGCGGGTGGATTTTCCTAATGCTCGCATGTAATTTTTGTTTTCAACTGCATTCAATGAACCTCAAGACGCTTAGGGGGATACGAATAGACTAGGGATACGGAATACGGAATACGGGATACGGAATAGACAGTGGCTTGAAGGTGCGGGGGCGCAGACAAGGCGACGCGTCACTGGCAAATGGGTAAACATGAAAATTTGTTTTTCCTATTCGACAGAGACATGTGAAAAATCGCTGAAATGCCACGATTTTAGACAATCGAACACATTTTGATGTGTGTGTGTGCGTGTGTGTTTAATGTTTGTTTTTTTCGCCAAGCATAAACAAAAGCGAAGAGCTGCTGCCATAAGTGCGGTAAGAGCCACAGAAGTTGCCACAACAATTTGACGCAATTCAAACGAAATGAGCACAGGCGAAACCCGCCGCCCCGCCGCCCGGCTGACTATACAAGGGGTATGCCCCTGTGGCAATTGCAGCATTTGGTTTTGTTTATGGAACTCAAACACACACACACACACTCACACACTCGAGTGTCTGCAATTCCGGAGGGCAACTCGTTTTCGTTTTGGTTTTCTTTTCGGCCATGCGGCAAATCCTTTTGGGTGTCGCTCTCATTAAGCTGCCACACCAAACGGAAGCAACAATGGGCGACAACTGCAACAGCAGCAGCTACAACAACAACAACAACAACAACAACAACAACAACAACAACAACAACAGCAGCAACACAAACAGCATCAGCTGAGCGTTAAGACAGGCTAAGGCAAATGCAAAGGCAAATGACATTGACTGCCATGCACAGTGGAACACATTGAAGAATATACGTGCACAACTGTGACACGCCCTTAAATAAAATATAGCCAGCATCATGGCGTAAAGGTAATTGATTGTCATGACTATATCATATGCCATCTATGGCAATAATCAAATCTAAATTTTATGTTTTGCCTTTTAGTATAAGTCAAAGACTGCACATGGACTTCCAATTAATATAGATATAGATGGAATATAGACTTTTATACTCTTTCTCATGCCAAGTGAGAGATTGATTTAAGCCCAGACTCGGGTCCAAGCGTTAAGTAATTCACGAAGTCTCATATAAGAAGCAATATATAAAAAATTCACAAACCTAGCTTTTATACTCCATGATCGTAGAAGAAAGAATTTAGGATTTGCTTAATTAGTACTAATACTTTACAGAAAGACAAGCCCTGCAGCTATTGACATAATGCGCTCGCAAGTGCTTTAACATAGCCATAACATGGCATTTATAAATGTT